AACTTACGAAACAGTGCGCAACAAAACAGGGTCTCAATTGGGCGGCCATTGATGAGTGCGCGACGGGACCGTTGGGTCGGGGACTACACCTTCTGGCGGGTGAGGTATTTAATAAGGCGACCCCCAAACCTACAGGAGTGCCACACATTTTGCTCAATGGTCAACACACAGATGAGATCAGTGAGAGAGCCGAAAAGGACCTGGTGGCACTCGTATGCGACACCTATACTGTATGTTGGCTATAATTTTTTATTTAATTATTTGTGTGTTTTATTAATTTTATTTTATTTATCCGTAAATATAGGGCACAAAACCAGACGCGTGTAAAAAATAAGCAAAATTATATATTATTGTCAAATAATAAATGTTTGCATTAAATTATTAAATACTCTATTTTTATTGTGAAATTAATTGAATAGTAAAATTCACTTGTTATAAGGTGATTTGATAAAATAAAATTTCAAGTGATTTCAATTAAGTTTATTGTTTATCAAGATTAATTGTTATTTGTTCCAGTTCTAACTATTCTAGTTAATAAAATATACCTGATAGTAGTATGCATTGGCATTGTCATTGACATTGACATTTATGTATTTAATTTACCGTTTACATTTATTTCTTAATAAAACTAAGTTTATGTATACCGTACTATAAAAATAATCACTGATATTATTTTTTAAATCCTTATAAAAAATACATTATGTATCACTAAAATGTTCAGGGTGGTCCAGCGAGTGGTTTCAGTTTCAAGTGAGTTAAATACAGAGTAATTGGCAAAAACATAGTTATAGTCACAATCATGCTTTTTATCTCTTATTAGCAAATGTTTGCTTTAAATACAATTCACATGAATTTAATCAATAACACATTTATATAAATAGAGACATACAGTAATAATAAAAAGTAATTATTATTCATAATTCATATCGTGTTTTAATAACAAACTACTAAAACTGATCGCAAATATGTGTAACATATATTTGGCCACTATTTTGGTGACATTGGTATACATCGGGGACTCCAGTGCCGCACCAAATGTCAAACTCAGTCTGTATTACGAGAGTCTGTGTCCGCACACCAAGGCCTTCGTTACCACCCAATTGGTGCCCACGGTTCAGAAGTTGGAGTCCATACTGACGGTCGACCTACTGGTGCCGTACGGGCATGCCAACTATACCAAAGTGACCAAACCTGACGGCACTTTTGACCTGGAGTTCACGTGCCAGCACGGGGTACAGGAGTGCATCGGCAATGAAATACATGTAGGCGCTCGCTATCATACAAATATTTAATATTTTAAATGTGTTACTAATTCATTACTTTACAGAATTGTGTTTTAAATACACAAACCATTGCTAAATCTCTGACTTTGTTTGGCTGTATGTTTAACTCGACTGACTTTAAAACTCCACTCATTGCTGGCAAAGAGGTCTAATCTATAGTTTGATATTTTTATGATACAAATGTAATATATTTTTTTGTGTTAACCTACGAAACAGTGCGCAACTAAACAGGGTCTCGATTGGGCGGCCATTGATGAGTGCGCAACGGGACCGTTGGGTCGGGGACTACACCTTCAGGCCGGAGAGGTGTACAATAAGGTCACTCCCAAGGGTTTCACTGTACCACACATTGTGATTGATGGGAAATGGACGGCAGAGATCAATGATAAAGCTGAAAAGGACCTGGTGGCACTCGTATGCGACACCTATACTGTATGTTGACTTTAGTTTCTTATTTAATTATTTGTGTGTTTTATTAATTTTATTTTATTTATCCGTAAATATAGGGCACAAAACCAGACGCGTGTAAAAAATAAGCAAAATTATATATTTTTGTCAAATATTAAATGTTTGCATTAAATTATTAAATACTTTATTTAATTGTGAAATTCATTTGACTTACATTTTTTTGGTATACCTGACAAAAATTTAATAAGTAAATTAATTACTAATTAAATTAAATTTTCAATTTCTTAAGCAATAATTTACTCAAGGTTCAGTACTGTATTTATAAATTAAATGTATAAATATTAGCAAAGCAATAATGATATTAAATGTTATGTATTAATGAGTGCGTTAGTACTGATCATCGGGATCGTGCAAATCATCCGGGTCACCACGATCCAACATCAAAGCACATATGAGGGTCATTACGGTGGATGTTATGCCCAGACGAGTGACCCATATATCAGTGTCGTCAGTCATATAGACAAAAATGAGTGGACAGGGTGTTACGATTGTGGTCACAATGATAATGTATTTGTTCTCCTGAAGTATACCAAACACCGCCACGACTGCCACTATCATCCCACATACCGGGGTCACTACATTCAGTACGCGAAGGGTTTCCTGACTATACATAGCAGCTGTTAATTCGTGTCATTAGTATTTAACTACAAATATAATGTCATAAAAAGCCATTAAATTGTACTTACTCCATTTACTGGAGTCCAAAATAAATTTGGACATATTTTGGTACCAAATGATGGTAGATATTAGTGACACCATATACGACACAAACACCGCACATGTTATGAGTTTAAATATTAGGAATCTCTTGTGTGAATCAAATGTCGGCAAATACTTGAGAATATTTCCCATTATTATTTAATTAGTAAATTGAATGCTATTTTATAAATTATTGAAATAAATTTACATGTGTTTGTAAATTTAGACAACACATGAATTATAGCCTATTCTAGTGACCATTAAGTGTTTGTAGATAAATTTAAACAGTGAATTCGTATATGATTATTCAGGTCAGAGGTTTTTACTAGTTATTAGTTAGCCAATGATAGCTTCACGTTAGTAATTTATAATTTTTATTAAAGTTTACTAAAAAAATTAGTAAATAGTGTACCTGTTTACTGAACATTGAGGGTTTAACAAATTTGTAACCTACAGTAAAATAAAACTGAATTTTGTTTTTAATTAATTTAATGACATTTTTTATTTTTAAAACATTTATTTGACTAACAACTTGACAACTCTGACGGCACCCGATGTGTGAACCAATAGCTCCAGATTATCATCTTTGGTAACGGTTCCCAACACTTCTTTGCCCTCATCGAGGAACAGGTCGTGTACTTCGTATTTGGTCTCTTTAACCGCTGATGGGATCAGTTCAGACACTTTGTGTGATATCTAAG